TAAGCATACTTTCATAGCACCTAAAAACTGACCAAGGTGAGGGCCACGCTCTTCAAGCACTGTACAGACCATTAAAGCTTGCAGCCTGCACAGAAGGCTTGGGAAGAGGTGGACCAAGGAAGGGAGAGGGAGGGAACAGGTCTATGTTGAACAGCATCATCTGGTTACCACACAATTTCTGTGGTATGACCAATGGCATGAAACACACCATCAGAAACGGGAAAATGATGTGAAACTACTGCGAGGTTGAGGGGACCGATACAAGAAGAATAAACTTCAAAAACCCCTACTGGCACTATAAACCAGAACCTGCTCTGTCTCAAGTAACTGTGAGGTTACTGGGGCTAGGCTGCTCTCTCCAGCAAGGAGAAACATACTCACACTGGTACAAAAAGAGAGCAAGGTTTGTAGGAAGAGGTAATCATCTTTGAATAAATCACTGCTACACAGTTGGAGCAGGCAGACAAGCTTTTGGGCATACCACCTCCTCTTGCATGTTTCAAGTTAATTACAACAGGCCAAAGAAATTAGTCAGCAAAACAATTTAAACAGGGGAAAAAAAAGCATTAGACATAACATGAGGGAAATATTAATTACAATCTATCTCTGAGAACATGCCTACAGGCAGCGTTCTCTGCTAGGCCCTGCTCCCCCATGAGAAACCTCTGCTTCCAGCCCAGAAAAGCTGCTCACGTGCATTCCCCCATTGCACCAGGCTGCACGTTTGAATGAAACAAGTCTACAACAATATCTTTAACAAAGCCCAGCTAACACATGTCCCACTTCCCTTTGTGTTCACGGGCAACCAATAAAGCAAGCTGCTCACGTGCTGAGATGCGCCAAGGGAGAGACTGAATTTTACCTGATGGGACTGCAGGCCAATGATGGAGGAATATGCCTGGATGGTCACAAAGATCTCTGGCTGGTAAATAATGTCCGAACCAGGGATACGAAAGGGTCTTAACAACCCCACTAAGCATCGGGAAAGAGCGTGAAACACTTCGTCAAAAATTATCTCCCCTGTTGAGTCATCCTACAGAAACAGAGAAAAGAAACTTAGCTTCTTCATCTGCCAGGACTTTCAATCTCATTGACAGCCGCCGCACCACACAAAGCTAACAAAAAACATCCTTCTGTAACAGCAGCTGGTAAGCAAAGGCCACACATGGAGCATCCAGCAGAGACACAGGATCTGCCAGTAAGCTGACCAGCTAGGAGCATTTCATGCCTCACTCCTGGGAAAACAAGTGCTCTGCAAAAGCTAAGACTGACATAGAAAGGAACGAGCCTTCTCAGCAGAGAGAAACGAGTCCAACCTTTCAACAAAGGGCACCCCAAGAAGATAGTTTCTGCACTTACCACAATCCCCGTGGAAGGGCTCAGGTCAAGTTCAATCACAAAGCGGTACTGGCGGGCCAGGAAGGTGACCCGTGTTGAGGGCACTAGGAGATAGGGCCTAGGCTGGACAGGCTCGTCTGGCTGCCATCCATTAGGCAAGATGCTGAGAACATCCAGTTCGTTTTCCGACTTCACCTACATGAAAAGGTGAATGGTAAGTGAGAGAACATTAAGACAAGCCACATGTATCAAAGCAAGAATCAGAATAAAGAATAGGGTTAAAACCTTCTGCAGGGCCTGGCTGCTCATGAGTAGCGCAGAGCCCAGAGCCAGCTGGCCACGTCAGGATGTGGCAAGACCAACCAGCCCAGGGCACCAACTCACCAGCTCCGGCTCAGGCACAGCCCAGATGACCTGATGGAGTCGGCTGAGGACCCAAGCAAGGCGCACGTTGCGGGAGATGCGATAGTCTTTCTTCATCAGGAGGAAGACATGCCCTGCTTCCTCCACCTGCAGCGTGTGGGAGCATGGCAAGCCCCCTGGTCACCCCAGGAGTCAGCCAGCCCCCCAGAAGAGGGAAGAGGCTGGCACTGGCTGGGGCTGGCCACCACAGACCTCACCAGCACCTCCTTAGTTGGCCTTTGCCAGCATCGCTCATCTGCCCCCACATCCACCCCAAGACGTGCCTCAGCCCCTCGCCCTTCCCCCACCTGCACCAGCCCCCACGTTCC